CATAAAATACAAACCAAACAGATGCACAAACACACACACAGAGGTTAGCACTTTTTCAAGCAAGCACCTCCCAACAAGCTAGCACTTTACCTGAACGAAACAGGTTTGCCCTCTATAAAATGCAAATGGCTTAGCAGGAATGTTCGTACACGATGAAGGGTGTTTATCTGTGGCATTATGTTTACTATTTTATCTTTTGTAGTTTATTTCCTGGTCATTTAAGTGAAGTGATGCTTTACAATGATGTACATTGCCTTTGGTGAATTTAGAGTTATTTGATTACTGTTTGGAGTTTTATTCATATAATTTGAACTCTTCTGCTGTAGGGATGGGTAACATTGCAATTGACAAGAGATCCATCTCATGCTAGAAGATTCCTGTCTGCTAGATCTGTCACTGGGTTCCTTTCAGATGTATACTCTGCAGCAGCTGACGAAGTTGGGAAAATATATTTGATTGCTGATGAAAGGGTTTGTACCAAAATATTCGCTTCGTTTTTTTAATCTTTATTGAAGCATTCCTTTGCTTGAGATGCAGTGTATTTTGTTGTTCATATCAGGTTCAAGGAGCAGTTTTTGATCTTCCCGAAGAGGTAGCAAAAGTGTTGCTGACTAAGCAAATACCACCGGGAAACTCTATTAACAAGATCACAAAGGTTTAAGTCAGATTTTGGTCACAAAGCTTTTATGTTGCTGTTGTATGATAGCTTTGTTGCTTAACTTTCTGTGATCTGTAAACATTTACGCTCTCATCTGTCACCTGCGTAGGTTTACTTAATGTATTGAAGTAGGCTGACTTTCTGTGTTAATTTCTGCTGGCAGTTGCCTCCTTTGCAAGATGATGGGCTGTCAAGTGATAATTATGGCAGGTTTTCTAGCAGGGACCGTTTCTCTCGAGCAAGTTCTAAGGATAGGAGAGGTTTCAGAGCCTCGCAGGGTTGGAGAGACTCTGATGATGAGGACCGTGGTGGTAGAAGTAGGTGGACACGGATTTCAAGTAACAGTGGGGGTGATTGGCTTATTGGTAATAGGAGATCAAACAGGTCATCATCCCGTGACAGGTATATCTCTACTTGATTCTTTCTCCTCTTTAAAGCAATCTTCTAGTTTAGCAACAACCTAATGGGGCATGCTTATTTTCTCTTCTTTGGAATTGGATTCATGATGTCTACACCATGCCACGAATTTATTTTGTTTGTCTTGAAACCATGAGGTCTGTTTACTGTGTTTGTGGCTGTACAAGATGGTTACTGATGTTCCTTTGTACCTTGTATATATCTAAATTTGTACAGAGGCTTTGGTGGTTCCTGCTTTAACTGTGGGCGCTCGGGGCATAGGGCATCTGAATGCCCAAACAACCAGAATTATTAATACACTAGGGTTTCAGTCTTGCAACTGCCATGGGCATTGCTTTTGGGAAAGCACAGGAAGTAACCTAGTTGAGAGATGCTCCATGAGTTACAGAACTATCATTTAGATCGCTCTGCTGTTCTGTCTGTGGCAGAACCCATTTGATGTGACGAGAGGATGTTCTTACATTTCTCTGATAGTCTCTCTCTTTTCTAATAGAAGTTGAATTAACCAGTACTAGTTCATAGCCTCCCATCATTTAATGGGCGGATTTATAGTTTCAGATTTTCCTATCAAAACAGCTTCAAAAAGAGATGAATAGCAATTCAAGTTGAGCTTCATATTCACAAACTTGTTGATCTTTATTTGTACTTTGTATTGCTTGACTGGGGAATGCTTAGGGAAGACAATTTTCATTTTACATCTTGGTACATTGCTGCTTTCCATTATAGGTAACTGACTGAATGCACTCTATCAAATATTGTTTAGTGAAAGAAACCATATGTCAACAAATATGGTTAACATTGTCAATAAATTATAGTCTTTTCTCATATCTCTCTTTACATGTTTCATTATTTGTATGATAAAAATCAATGTTTGCATATGAGATTTTTGTCATTTGAAGTTTGAACAATCAATTTTTTATCTTGGATTCCTGGGGCATCTTTGATCTTCTCTTAGGGCTTTTAGATGGTATGTTCTAAAGAATATATTGCATATATCCTTCCCATGACACAGCTTCAAGTTCCTAACCGCATTTGTAGAATATTTTTAGTTTATAAAAATTACTACTTCCAGTTCAAGCTTAGTTTTCACATCGGCAAAATAATAAAAAAAAAACCATGAATTTCCATTCCTCCACGTAATTCCACCTAGGTTTTAGAATTTAAATAAAGAAAAAAGAAAAAGAAAAAGAAAAAAGAATCCTTTAAGGAGTTAACCGTACACCCTTGCATTTAATAGACAAAATCACAAAAGGACTAATTTTGCGTAAAAAAATTAAAGTTTAAGGATAATTTTAATTGTTTTTGAAGTTTAAGGACCAAACTGGGAATTAACCTGTTTATTATATTTATAAGACGATAACAATTGCTACGTGTCATATTTTCAGTGGAAGGGAAAACCACAAAAGCCTTCTTCAAAACGACACCTTCTAAAGCAGAAAAACGACACAGCACAGTGCAGAACCAAAACCCAAGGAGAAAAAGATTAGGTTTATTTCCCGGCGGAGGCAACAAGGAAGACGAAGACGAGAACTCCGCCTTTCCTTCTCTCCCTCCTGCTCCGTTGATGGATCTGGTAATTATTTCCGATTTGATCTTGTTTCTTTAGTTCACAGAGATTGGCGATAGTATTTCTGTTGAATTTCAATTTCTAACTTTGAGAAGAAATGGTGTGAGCGAAGATAGTTTAGTTTCATTTTGATTTCTGATTGTGTAGTTTGGGTGGAAGAATATAAGTAATTACGGAAGAAGATAAGATGTATTCGAAAAGATCTGGTGAAGGAGGAGATGGGGATGGGTCAGTTTCACAGCCAGTACGCACAAGTGGTAGGCTTAAGAGGAGGCCTACGATCTATCGAAACATGTATTACACTCACACTCGAAAAATCATGCGGAACAGGAACAGGAAAAACAAGGCCAAGTCAAGGACAGCAGCTTCACAGATAGCCAAGTTGTTGATTCCAAGGAATCAGCCTGTGCGGAACTCAAACAACACTGTAAGTCATAGTTTATGATCCTTTTTATTTCAGGGGAAAGTTTTAAATCTTGAGCAGTTGGGGTTTGCAGCTTTTCCGTCTAATCTAAACTTAGAATAGGATGTCCTAATATAATATAAATTTCTGTCTCCTGCTTGCTTTTTTAGTATTACTGGTTTAGGGTCTTCATTTCTTTGCATTTCTAAAAGGTGATGATTAGGATGTTATTGTTCGAGCTTGTTGTTTCTATTTAGCACCTGCATTGGATGTGCTTTTCTTTTTCTTTTAATTTTTAGGGTGATGCTATGTAGTACAATTCTCAGTGTTTCAAAGGTCAAGTTTAGTTCCCCAGTATATAATTTTTATCTGACATTACTGTCACAGAAATAAACTATGTTTGGTTCATTATAAATTGCTAAAGACAATTGTGGGTGTCAGACCATCTTATGCATCACATCATTATTGTTTCAAGATAGCTGTTGTTAAATTCATTTCAGGGGCTGTATTGCTTTGCATGTCTGCGATATTTCTGGATGCCTAATCTTTTGAATGAAGCTTATCATATCAGTTAGCATCCTATTTTGCTTGTCAGTGAGGATATCAATTCTGAATTTTATTGACTTGTTTTATCATTTCGTTGCAGTCAGGCACACCCAACCTTCGACGTTCCACCAGAAAGAGGAGAATATCCGTTAATCTTGAAGATTACACAGACAGTTCTGGATCAGAGGATGAAGACCTCATGGTATTTTATTTAGATGGCAATTTTTGTAGAATTCAATTGCTTTGGTGACATTTGTGTTTGACACTAAGAATGCATCTTTTATTTTATTATTTTTTAAAATTTATTTTGGTTGTAAATCTTTTGGTTTTGGGTTTCAGAGGCCCTCATATCGAAATTTGAGGAGACGGATTGCTAACAATGTGAGTCAAGATGAGTTCTCATCTCCCAAGCGCAAAAATAGAGTGGAGGCTAAACAAACACCTAGACGTGAAGGATTGCGACCTCGTCGTTCAAATCCAGTTATGACTAAACAAATGGATCTGGACTCTGAAGATGAACAAGAAACTTCTGAGAATGTTGCTCAAGAGGAAACTGAAAATGGGAATGAGTTAGATGATGCAGATGATGGCCATAATGACGCTGAGGGTGATGCTGAGGATGAGGATGAGGATGAGGGCGAGGGTGAGGGTGAAGATGAAGTAGAAGAAGATGGTGATGATGAAGAGGGTGAAGAAGAGCAGGATGGAAGGAGGAGATATGATCTTCGGAATCGAACTGATTCACGGAGGCTTTCCATGCAAGAGGGTAAACAGAGATCAAGATCTCCACGTAGGGTGTTACATCAAGGGATGGGGACCAAGGTGAGTAGGGATTTCAGGAAGGGTGGATCAAGAGTTCACAAACGTCATCGCCTGGCAAGAGCTGAAGACTCTGATGATTCCCTCCTTGTTGACGAGTTGGATCAGGGTCCTGCTGTTTCCTGGGCTCGAGGTGGGAGCAGATCTGGACCACCTTGGCTCTTTGGGGGGCTGGACATGCATGGGACAGCAGCATGGGGCTTAAATGTTGCTGCATCAGGCTGGGCTCATCAAAGTGATGCTTTTGCCACCTTGACTTCTGGGATTCAAACTGCTGGACCTAGCTCAAAAGGTGGTGCTGACATTCAACCATTGCAGGTTGATGAGACTGTAAGTTTTGATGACATAGGTGGACTATCAGAATATATAGATGCTCTGAAGGAAATGGTTTTCTTTCCCTTGTTGTATCCAGATTTTTTTGCGAGTTATCATATCACCCCACCTAGAGGGGTTTTGTTGTGTGGTCCTCCTGGCACAGGTAAGACATTGATTGCAAGAGCATTAGCATGTGCTGCTTCAAAAGCTGGCCAAAAAGTCAGTTTTTACATGCGTAAGGGTGCTGATGTGCTTAGCAAATGGGTTGGTGAAGCTGAAAGGCAACTAAAACTGCTGTTTGAGGAGGCACAGAGAAATCAGCCTTCCATTATTTTCTTTGATGAGATAGATGGACTTGCCCCTGTGAGGTCTAGCAAACAAGAGCAGATTCACAATTCCATAGTATCCACCTTGCTTGCCTTGATGGATGGTCTAGATTCCCGTGGACAAGTTGTTTTGATTGGAGCAACCAACAGGATTGATGCTATTGATGGAGCCTTACGTCGGCCTGGTCGATTTGATCGTGAATTCAACTTTCCTTTGCCTGGCTGTCAAGCACGTGCTGAAATATTAGACATCCACACTCGAAAATGGAAGCAACCTCCTTCAAAGGAATTAAAAATGGAACTTGCAGCTAGTTGTGTAGGATATTGTGGTGCAGATCTGAAAGCTCTGTGTACAGAAGCTGCTATTCGTGCTTTCCGTGAAAAATACCCTCAAGTATACACCAGTGATGATAAATTTTTGATAGATGTTGACTCAGTGAAGGTTGAGAAGTATCATTTTATAGAGGCCATGTCTACAATTACTCCTGCTGCACATAGGGGTGCTGTTGTTCACTCTAGGCCACTGTCTTTGGTAGTTGCACCTTGCCTGCAAAGACATCTCCAAAAAGCAATGCATTATCTATTTGATATATTTCCTCCACTAGCAGTGTCATCAGAGTTAACTAAACTGTCTATGCTTTCATATGGATCTCCAATTCCTCTTGTATATAGGCCTCGGCTTCTGCTGTGTGGTGCTGATGGTGCTGGTTTGGTAAATATCTATTAACATTTTGATTTTATCAACTAGTTATGAGAGAAACTGGAAACTAAATATACTCACTGATTTAGTTTAACAGGATCATCTTGGGCCTGCAATTTTGCATGAACTAGAGAAATTTCCCGTTCATTCTCTTGGCCTTCCATCACTTCTTTCTGATCCTAGTGCAAAGACACCAGAAGAAGCTCTGGTACACATATTTGGTGAAGCAAGGAGAACAACACCATCCATCCTTTATATCCCCCAGTTCAATCTTTGGTGGGAAAATGTGAGTTTTTTCATGTATTGAGTAAATGTTTACATCTGATCCAATCATCAAAGTACACTCTCTGCCTCTGCTCAGAAGTAATTTTTCACTGTTTTAGTTCCCAGTTCATTAGACTATCTGTCTTTAAGCCATAGCATCATGTTTTGATGAATGCTCTAATGCAGGCTTATGAACAGCTAAGGGCTGTTTTGCTGACTCTGTTAGAAGAGTTGCCTTCCAACTTGCCAATACTATTACTTGGAACATCCTCAGTTCAACTGGATGGCATCAGGCAGGATATAAATCCAGTGTTTCCACAACGTAGCATGTATGTCTTACTGATCCTTAAAGTAACCATTTATGCAAGTTGTAGTGCTGTTCCCCGTGTTGCAAAAGGCACCGGCACTTATGCACTGGGTGGCCCTATGCCAGTGAAGGCCTGGGCGGCGCTTATGCACTGGGCAGCCATATGCTGCCCACCCTGACCTGGGCAGTAGGGCAATACTGCCTTTCCCTTTTTTGGGGGCTTTTTTTTTAAAAATAAAAAATAAAAAATTAAGCAACGTTGTTTTGTTTTTCAACTTTTTTAACAAATAAAGAACAAACAGCCCTGGTTGGTTTCAAAGGTCAACAAAAGGCAAAAAACCCTAAATGCTGAGCATTCCAGGTTTTCTACAACTTCAGTTCTTCTTCTTCTTCAGTCTAATTAATTGATTTCAGTTATCTTGATTCTATACTTCTATTAACTTTTGTTGATTAATTGATTTTAGACTTTTAAATATATATATACATATATATTTTATTTTCCCTGAATTTTTCAGATTTTTATTTTTTTAAAGAAAAAGGTGGCACACAAATTGCCAAGGCGGTTTGGGCACTGCCTGGGCGGAGGCCTGTCGCCTAGAGGCACCTAGTGCCTTCAACAACATTGTGTACCCTTGGTATTAGAATAGTCCTTTCTTTCAATGAGATGTGAGACGTTGTTGAGGCATTATATAGCAATTATATAGCAAGCCATAGGTCTTATTTTTAAAGAGTTAGGATCCACTTACACACAACTCTTACACACATTACTTACACAAAATCTTGACCATTCATCTCTCCCCTATGAATGGTTGGGATTTGTCGTACTTTTTAGAACAAAAAGATAATTATCTTTAAAAAATAGGGTAAGAAGTGGATAAATCTCAACCATTCATAGTGGAGAGATGAATGGTCAAGATTTTGTGTAAGTGATGTGTATAAGAGTTGTGTGTAAGTGAATCCTATCCCTTTTTTTAAATATTTATTTTAATATAGTATTTAGAACACATTGTGGTTCTTCCATGCTGAGTTCAATTCAGGTAAACAGATGCTTGTCTTATTCTTACTGTTTAGTTTGTAGTAAACTGTTTTCCCATGTTCTGAAATTTCATACGTTTCTGTGGCTGGCATCAAACACCTTAATTAAATGAAGAAATAGTTCTTTAGTCATATATTTTCCTTTTGTGGTCAGCTACCAGGTGGACAAACCATCAACTGAGGACAGATCTTTGTTTTTTACCTCTCTAATTGAAGCTGCTTCATCCATCTTGCTGGAAGCTGTGACAAAAAATGATCAGGAAGCTGTGTCTCTTCCTGAACTTGCCAGGGCCCCGAAAGTAGCAAGTGGACCAAAGGTTTCAGAACTAAAAGCCAAAGTAGAAGCTGAGCAGCATGCACTTCGCCGATTAAGGATGTGCCTCAGAGATGTTTGCAACCGGTAAAGTAGCCTTTATTACATATTTATCTTTATGAAGACTAATGTCTTACTTTTCTGGATAATGCTGCACTTTATATGAATAGGTAACTTGACATTGATTTGGTGAAATTAGTCTAGTAGTTATAAGAAGTAGGTAGTAAAATTGTTCAAAACATTACATAAGGGCATTGCCACATTAGTGAATAATTATTCATTACCACAGTATTAGGCATGCAAGCTTAAGAGAAACTGCATTTCTAAGAATGTTCAGAACTCACCCTGTTTCTCTCCCAGGACACAAGAAACTAATTAGTGAACACACCCAAACACGCAAAAGGAAAGATTTGCATGCATTACAAGTAATATTTATGAACTTGATTTCTGATCATGCCGTATGATCAAATTTTGATAACACAATTAAGGGTGTCAACTAAGGTTATAAATGGTAATGACTTGCAAGAAGGATTGAGTGTCCTTACTGGACATTGAATTCGGTGAAGCATGGTGTAAATAAACTTTGTTGATTAGTAGGAATTGCAATAAACTTTATTTACTTGTTTACACTGGGGTCATTGAAATGTTGTTGATTTTCATTTCATTGCCTTATAACCTGTCTCTATGGCACTTCCTTTTCTTTGTTTTTGCAGGATATTGTATGACAAGAGGTTTAATGTTTTCCATTATCCAGTCACTGATGAGGATGCTCCAAACTACCGTTCTATAATACAAAACCCTATGGATGTGGCTACTCTCTTGCAGCGGGTGGACTCTGGGCAGTACATTACTTGTGCAGCATTTCTACAAGATGTTGACCTGATCGTCACTAATGCAAGGGTCTGTCACCATGTGCATGCTATTTTTCTTTCCTGGGTTGATTACTTCCTGTGTTTATTGCACCATTTGTCAGAACTCATTGATTCTTTGCACTTAAAAGCAGCAAATGAATGAATGAATGAATTATTATATTTATTATTATTATTATTTCAAATGTGGAGGGACAAGCTTAATCCTCCTTGGTGCCCACATATTGTGGTAACAGGGAACTCTAGGAATTGGTTAAAGCATGGAAAGAAAGAAGAGACTTGTGCTATGTCAATTGTAGTACAAACAGACAAGTTTGCTAGTTGAATTTTACCTTACTGTAATTCCTTTATCATCAGTTCACTTTTCATCTCTAGATTTGGCATTCATGTTAAACTATAAATATTAGATGTAGTTTGCATGCTACTCAAAAGAGATCTTCAATTTGAAGTTTAATGTTCTTGGCAAGACAAGATTATCTGATTAGTTCACCACAAGATATGTCCAACTGCCTTTGTTCTCTGACTGGTATTGCATTTTCCAGATTCCTAGGTACTAAGGTTGTAAATATGTCCAATAAACTAAACTGTGTAGGATTCCTTTCATACATTATCTCTTGAATGGGTTTTCCATTTGGCAGTCTAATCTTATTTGCTCTCCTTGGTGCAGGAGTACAATGGAGATGATTATAATGGGTCTAGGATTGTTAGTAGAGCTGTTGAGCTTCGGGATGTGGTATGTTCAATTATTATTTGGTCTCAGAATTTTCTTTTTGTGGCTTCCTATGGTTCTCCTTGTCTTCTTTTTCCTTGGGTTTGTTGCCAAAGATATTCTCTTCTTTATCTTTTCCTTTTAGGTACATGGAATGATCTCACAGATGGACCCTGCATTGGTTACATACTGTGATAAAATTGCCACCCAAGGGGGTCCAGCACATATCCCAGATAATTTAGGGGCATCCATTTTGCCCTTGACACCCGTTGTGCAGCTAGGAACTGCTACCAGAGCAAGTGCTAGACTTCGCAATGTCCAACCAGAGGTCAATTTAGATCAAAGTTATGATGCCTTAAAAAGGCCAAAGAAGAGTGTTGATACCACACATACAGGTATGTTAATGCTATATGCATGGAATGATATGAAGTACTGTATACTTGCATTTGCTTCTCTGAAGGATTCATCGAGGTAAACATTAATCTAGTATGTGGAGTGGGTTTATAACTTATTATTATCAAATACTTCAATCTTAGTTTTGTTTTTAAATAGGTTTTTCATTTCTACAATCCTTGAGTCATGGGATATCGTTAATACTTTTGTTACCAATGCTCTCAGACAAATTTATGCATATGGCATGTTTTTCTGGCCATCCACATTTGGCACAAAATAGGATTGAGATAGGAGAATTGGGTGACCAACTTGCATGACTAGCATCCATGAGGAGGCATCATTTTAGATTTTATCCTCATCTGCGTCAGCCTGTCTAAAATGGGATAAGAGTGTTAAACCATGCTATTTTTGGTTTAATGAATGCTACTCCATAGAATGGTATGATTTTTAAAGAACCATGACAGTTTTTGCCCCTTATTTCCATTTTGTCATTCTTTCCCATCCATTTTTCCTTAGTTTTATGTAATGCAACAGAATAGCCATTCCCCTAAACCAGAAGTAGCCCTAGGTGCAACATTTTATGTAATATATAATCCACTAAATCGACTCTTGGCCTTATGACTGGAAGAATATTTCTGCTTTAGTAAATTTTCCTGGATGTTTTTTCATCTCAATGAATTTTATTTAGTCTCAGCATGCTATATGGCATATGAATGATTATATATTTGCATGTTCTATTCTTATCACAGCTTCAGCAGGAACAGAAGAAAAATCAAAAGAACAAGAATTAGTCCAAGCTTCAGAGGGAAATGACACAAGTCATGAGAGGATAGAATCTGCTTCTGGTAATGCCAATCACCATGAAACTTCTGCAGAAGCTTCAGTAGCAGGTGGGAGTGAATCCCACAGTGTTAGAGTGTCCGATGATGAAATTTCCAGACAAGTTGAATTGGTGAAGCGTCTGTTTTTGGAGAGAAGTGAAAACTATGGCATACCTCAGCTTGAAAGGCTGTACACTCGAATTATGAAGGGAATTTTTGAAACCAGGGACAGAGGAACTGGAAATGAGCCCAAGTCCTCAGTTTTGATGTTTCTGTTGAAATTTGCGGAGGACAACTCCAATTTCTGATTCCGAAACACCTTCTGTTAAAAATGTGAAAGGAAAAAGAAGAGAAGAATGCTTCATGTACTGCGTGTAAAGTCGGGATTTTTATTTTTTTAAGATTTTTATTTTTTTTAACCAATGTTTGTGATTGGAGTAAAAGTATAAAGACTTTTTGTCCTTTCCTCTCTTAAGTTGTGTTAGTTCATGTCCACATTTTGTGTGCCGATAATAGAAAAATAAATTGAGATCATTACTCAATTGTGTTTGGAGTTGATTTTACTAATGGTCTATTTGGTTCATGAAAAATACCCTTCTGTGCTGCCAGGAGACCCTGCCTTTTGCAAGACGAGGAGCATTGCCCCAAGGGATCAACCTCTGATCGACAAAATGTGAAACAAATCTTCCGATGCAAGGAAATGTTCGTATCGCACGGAGCAAGTAAAAGACCTCCTTCAATTAACCGCTAAGTGTTCGTTTCCCTTTGTACTTGAGATTGGGAATGAATGAAACTGAAGATGATGATGATGGTTGATAAGTTGAATTTTTATATATACTAATGTGAAATTTTTTATTTGTTATTATTGATAATCAGGTAAATTTTATGAGATTTTACTTGATTTTACTTGATTTTACATGATTTTTATTTTTTGTGTAGAAAGGGATTTAATTGAAAGAAATTAAAATTTTTAGGATCAAACCTAAGAAATCAGAACAGTGAGGATAAAAGCGTCAACGACAAAAAATGAGGGACCAGAACAGTTTTATCAATGAAGAACCAAAATACCATTTTTGTCCCAAATCCTCGACCCAATATACGAATAAGATTGAGGGTTGGATCCGGTTGTTTGGTTGGTTAAATTTATAATTCGTATTAAAGCCAGTACTTATATTGGTAACAAATTCAATGCATGATAGAAAAACCAATAAAGAAATTAAAATTGAGTCTCCTGGCTGTGGGTAAGCCGATAAAGTGATATTTTCATTTCACTCAACTAAAATATATTACTAGTATGTTAATAAAAAAAATTGAATAATTAGTATTTATTATTTGATTAATTCATATTAATTTATAAAATATATTTTAAAACATTATAAATTATTGTTTAAAAAAAGTCAATTAATTAATAATTTGTTGCTTGGATTAAAAAGAGTTCAGTTTCCTTAAATAAGATCTATGATTCAAATTTTATAAATGAAGAAACAAACACTGCAAAAGTTTTTTTTTATGGGATTTGATGTGATTCAATTCTAGATCAGTTAACGTTCAATGTGATTTTTGAATATCAAAAAGTTAATATAAAAAAAATAGTCAATTAATTAAACAATAATTAAACTATATATCCTTAATATAATCACGTGATCATACCCAAAGCTGAGTCTCTTCCTTCATGTTATTAATAGGCTGTGGTAGTAATTAGGAATGGCAATGGGTCTCATGAGGGCAAGGACCCCTCCCCATCCTCATCTCTGTTGGTGACAGGTATAGAGATCTTCAAGGGGATTTTTGATAGAGGATCAAAAATAACCTCTGTCTTCATATTCACAAGGAATGATAGGTTTCCATGGATATTTAAAGTTCCCGTCAAATATTAAATATATAGAATTTAACCTTACTGTTTTCTTGATAAATAAAAAGGTAAAATTTTAAAATAAGTCAAACAAGTGAATACATTAACATATAATGTAGCAAAGAAAAATCTAGTAATCAATTGCAACAAATATACATTACCATACACCTCCAATAGATCCAACAACAAGTTCATAAAAATGAAAAAAATGCATGAATTGCCATACATGTTCAAGTTGGAATGAATTATTGAATTGAGTTTGAAAAGACTATAACTGGAAAAGGAATTAGGTTAGGCAATTTAAGTTAGGTTGGGTTAATCAATTAAGTTGGATGAGTAAAAATTAATTGGTAATATATTTACAAAAATATATAAAAATAAATAAATATATTTTTTATTTTATATGAATCTCCATATGTTTTCACGGAGTAGAAGAAATTCTTTACGAAATTTCTTAAAAAAAAATGTCTTTATCCCCATCTCATAGAGAGGAATATTTTTGAAATCTCCATCCTCATGATAGGGATCTCCGTGAGGTTTCATTGGTTTTGGAGAAAATTGTTATCCCTAACAATAATAAAAGTGGGTTTTGTAAGGATTAGATAGTTTAATTGTTATTTTATTAATTTATAATTTTTTAACAATTAATTATAATATATAAAAATATTTATTTATAA